GAATATTCCTATTAATGTTTATTCATTGCAAAGCATTATAAAATATTTGTATGTTGTTTGATGAAATTTTAGGACATGTGGTAAAACTTATTATAAATCAAAACATTGATTAAAATAAAAAATATTTTTTTAATATTAATATGATAATTTATAACAGAGAATAACGTGACAAATATTTCTAAATAATATTTGTCTACACCAAAAAATTAATATTTCTTTTAAAATTATATATCTTTTATTTAAATAATTATATAACATTAATTACTAGAGCCCGGATTTAAGTTCTCAGATCGAGCAACCGTAGCTAGTTCTCCCCACCCATGTCGCGCTCGTCGAGCGGGTCGAAGTGAAGAGAGCTGTGAGGAACTCGCTACGATCGACTCGAAATGGTACGTCGGCCGGCGGAAAATCCGGGCTCTATATATATATATATTATACATATTCTAAATGTTTTATTATTTTGTAGCTACAAAATTGGATTTAATGAACGGTAATGATCGTAAGCGTTTATTACTATTAGCGCTCTATTGTAAAAAACCAATATTTGATCAGCGTAGAAAACTATTATTATTGACGGCGGCACAGACTGTTCTATTTCAAAATGAAAATAAATCTCAACAACGACGACGACACTGGTTGGTTCGTCCGATTAATCAACAGCGAATTGAACAAGGAGATGGTAATCACTTGATTGAAGAAATGAGATTGCAAGATACAGAAGTACATTTTCAATACACTCGTATGACTATTGATGTCTTTGATGAACTTCTTGCAAAAGTTGGACCAAGAATAGAAAAATTACCAACACATTATAGAGAACCTATTTCCTCTCGTGATAGATTGTACATAACATTAAGGTAAGCTTTTGAATTATAATCAACCTTATATAAAATATTTAAATAAATACTGTCATATTTTATATTAATAATTTTTAAGAAACTATTAATTTTTTTAATTTATATTATACAATAGATACTTAGCAGTCGGAGATAATATGTCTTCAATAGCATTTGCATTTCGGGTAGGACGTAGTACAGTCTCCTGCATAGTAAAAGAAACGTGTGAAGCACTATGGAATATTCTACAGAATGAGCTATTTTAACCATCAGAAGATGGATGGAAAGCAGTTGCAGAAGAATTTGAAAGACTTGGAACTTTCCTCATTGTATTGGTGCTCTGGATGGAAAGCACATTACCCTACAAGTAAATTTACATGTCTATGTTTTTAATAATAATATATTATAAATTCTTCTTTACAAATTTAATAAAATTAATTACATTGCATAGTTTGTTATAAATATACATAATACTAATAACAAGTTTGCTATTATATTAGAGGCAGTTGACATTGTTCGAAGATTTTTTATCTGACGGCTTCATATATATTTCATTGAGATGCTGTTATATGAAATATTGTTGATTTTGTATCTTCTCTTATTGCCTTAATCCGAAGCACAGGAATAAAACTATGAGATAAAAACCCATCAAACAATGTTAACTTTCTTTTTATACTTTCTTATATAATAATTTAATTTATATATTTGAATTTACAGGCACCACCAAATTCTGGCTCTGCATTTTATGATTACAATGGACATCACAGCATTCATTTAATGGCAATTGCATCAGCAACATATAGGTTTTTGCTCGTCGATATAGGGGCGGAAGGTCGTCATAGCGATGGTGGAGTTTTTACGAATTTGTTAATGGGTCGCCGATTTCGCAATAATGAAATGAATATTCCTCCGCCATCGCCAATTATCACTGATGGAGAGCCAATGCCTTATATTTTAGTAGCAGACGAGGCTTTTCAATTGAATAATTTTACCCTTAGACCCTATCCTGGAAAAACCCTTACAAATGAACAGAGGATTTTTAATTATCGGTTGAGTCGAGCATGAAGAGTCATCGAAAATACTTTCGGTATCATGGTGGTCCGGTGGCGCATTTTCACGAAACCTATCAACACTTTGTTAATAACAGCAGACAAAATTGTGCAGGCTTGCGTCGTGCTTCACAATTTCTTAATGGATAAACCGAAGTACTGCGAAGAAGGATTTGCTGACGAGATGTATCAAAATCGAATTAATCCAGAATCATGGCGGAAAGAATTACAGAACCATTCTGCATTGAAGTCTCATGGATCTGCAGGCAGTAATATACACTCGCGCATCGCAGCTTTAGGAAGAGAAAATTATAAAAATTACTTTTTAAATGAAGGAGCTGTCTCATGGCAATAGACTTCATGTGATGGATGGTGAATCAAATACTTCTTATATATATAAGAATAAAAATTATAAAAATTTTTGTAATCCTTACGACCACTCAATGTAGATTGAATAAATTGAATTGTAAATTATTTGCAGTAAGTTTTTTAAATTAATACATTTATTTATTAATAATAAATCACGAATAACTAAAACAAATAACTAAACTGAGTGGAATTATTTAAAAAAATTGAAAGAAATTAAATGACTTAAATTTTTTACGAACAAAATTTTTTCTATGAGAAAGCAAATATTGTATTACTAAATTTATAAAAAGTAATTAATCTTGCACACTAACTTTGAATATACAATTATTTTCTTGCTTCATTATTTATAAGTTTTGTCACATATGTAATAAAAATTTGTTACTATTCTAAGAATTAAAGGACATGTAAAGGTTAAATAAAAAAATTATATAAGGAAAAATATATTTTTTAATTTATTTTAATTTATTATAAGACTATATTTAAGGCTCCTGGGTAGTCACCGCAGCCATATTAGATTCGTGACGTCAGAAGCGAGAAATGACACGCCGAGAATTCTTGCGTGCCATTTTTAAATAAAATGATAATTTAACAAAGTAACACTCTAGATCGCTTTAAGACACCTGTAAAATTGTCCGAAAACTATGCTTTTTCCTTAACAGGTTATAAACAATCGTTAAATCAACCGTGAAACGAAGCCTAATTATGCGAGAAAACACACGGTTGACAGCTGTCTGTATGAGTAGAAAATACTCCTTCTACGTTGGGCTTTCCCTGCTAATCTTAGTTTTCGGATAATTTTACAGGTTTCATGAATACGTCACATATCACAGCACTAACATTTAACGAATATTAACGAAATGGCACGCAAGAATAAATTGGATAGTCAACATGTCATTTTTTCACGTCTAATAGTTCATCGATTCTCCACCTAAGACGCTGCATGAGAATTTCTGTCATATGGACATGTTGGTAACGGTACTAAGCTATATATATTCTGTATTTATCGCGTTTATTTGTTTGTAAACAAATTTTTAAATTATAAATTAGCATTTTGTATGTTATTCAGTAATTTACTTTTATCATATCAATTAATTAGGTCAAACTGTTACTCTATTTACTTATACAATAAATTCGACTAGGTTTTTATTCCTACCACAATTATGTCGCCACTGTCAACGCGGAGTTCACGGCTACGGGAACAGGAGCCTTACCCTGGTGAAAAATATTCTCAGAATTTTTCATAAAAATTTTCAGATTTTTTACAAAAATTTTATAACTTTTACAGAAAATTTTAAGATTTTTTTATATGAATTGGCACATTTTTCAGAAAAGTTCAGAAAAGAAATGAAAATATATGAAAATATATGAATAAATTTATTATTTCTCAATTTTCCAGATCTGTATATATTAAAGCCCGTGTCCACGATGCAAGAAATTGGTTCGAGTTCCTTATGGATAAAGAATAGAGGGACGGAGCACAAGCTGTATCGGGGGAGCACGTTTGCGGCGGGGAGGGGGGGCCGCCATATTCGTTTAGTAATCACCACACATAGAACTCACTATTTGCGTATGTGTGAGAAATGAAAGTCAGATCCTGCACACAATAAACAAAATAGGAAATAGAAATAGGAAATAAAAATAGGAATAATTATTAAATATTAGAAATAAGAAATTGGAATTATTTATTTTAAAATAAAAAAATAGAAAAAATTAATGCATGAATTAAGAAATAAGAATTGGAACTAATTAATATATTTTATTCTCTTGTTAGATGTAAAATAATTTCTCTTTTTAATATTAAATAATTATTGCTATTTCTAATATTTTGTCTACTGTATGCAGAGCCTCAGAGTAATAAAAGTTACAGTATTTTATAAAATTTATAGTACAACAATAATAAAACCGCCTAATCTCTTTACGCTTGTCACTCGTTATGTCTAGTGGCACCACTACACGAGTGTAACCATGTCACAGACACAGAATCTTTGTATAAGAATCGCTACATCAATATGGCGGAAAGCAGTCCCCCCCCCCACGCTTGAATTACCATCCCCTCTCGCCTAAACTAGGACTTTAGACTCAGTCCCTCTATTCCTTAGTCCGTGGTTACATTGGGCGCGTTCAGCAGAACAAATCGCTTAGTAGCAATCGAACGTGATTGGTTCTTACTTTCAGAACCAACTAATTAACAGTCGAGATTCAGCGGAAAATCTACAACTGTTGAGTCTGCTGAACGCGGCCATTGTTGTCTCTTTGATCCTCGTATCGAATTATTAGACAAAAATAGAGTTTGAGTTGGCGATGGAGAAATTACATTTTTAGATATGCTGTAAAATGCTTAGTGAAGACAACTTGTCTTCAGTCAAAGGTGGCGAAGGAACAGATGAGATCACTAAAGGTTTTGTGACAACCTTGTTGCTTGTTATGCTCACTGAAGGTTTTGTGACAGCCATGTTGCTTATTTTACTGTAAATTAAAAATAATTGATAAACGTCAAACTAAAAACTGGCAAAAAGTGTCTTCCTCTGTTTGTGGCCGTGAAATTTCTTTTAATAGAAGTTCGTCCAGTGGATTTGTAACTTACGTGTTCAGTGCAGTTGAGTTATATCGTTGTCTCTTTGATCCTCGTATCGAATTATCAGACGAAGATAGAGTTTGCGTTGGCAATGGAGAAATTACATTTTTAGATATGCTGTAAAATGCTTAGTGAAGACAACTTGTCTTCAGTCAAAGGTGGCAAAGGAACAGATGAGATCACTAAAAGTTTTGTGACAACCTTGTTGCTTGTTATGCTCACTGAAGGTTTTGTGACAGCCATGTTGCTTATTGTACTATAAATTAAAAATAATTGATAAACCTCAACTACGTTTATATATTGTACAGAAAATATAGACTAGCAAACAACAAATAAACAAATAATTAACTATTTATAATACACATTATACATTATTAATTTTGCCAATTACTTTCAAACTTCCATTGTAGGAATTAAAAACTGCAAACATTGATAAAACTTCCAACTCTCTTTTTTTTTTGAGAGCCACTTCCACTGGGTACATATTTATGTTCCTCTTTATATTTCTTCCGAAAAGTATCTTTTAAATTTTCCATTTTTCTGGCATACAACTGGATCAGCATCTGTAACAAGTAATGTTGTTTTATTAACACTTATACTACCCCAGGAGAAATACAGGTCGAAAAAATGTCTAATAAACATCTAATCGACGTTATCTAATTAAGGGGTAACGCCACTCTAGAGCTCGAAAAAAAGACGTTTCTTTGATAATTTTTAACGGAAATACAATAAAGAAAATGGGAAATCTATTTATAGGAGTTTATTATACATGTTTCGAAGTATATAAAAAAAATTCTTTATTAATATTTATACACAAAATGGCGACTATATTATAAAAGACTCGAGGCCTCCTCTCGCCGAAAGGGCTTCACGGCCGGAAAGGTTACTCCCACAATTTTTAATCTAGAACAAAAAACAAACATTTTTTTAAAACTATATATAATTGACTAGAGACTGACGTAGGGGATTTTGAAAATATTGAATTTTGAATAAGTAGTGCTTATTTGAAAAAAAAGATCCATTTTTTGGTAAAAAATTTCACTGTAAATTGTTTATAACAAAAGAAGTTGACAAAATATTAAAAAACCCCTACGTCAGTCTCTGCAGAATCTAATTACGATGCTACTGTGCAAATTTGAAATAAATCGGTCAAAAACTTTTCGAGTTTTATTTCCGGCCAATTTGAAAAACATTGTTTCGAGAAAAACGCGTTTAAAGTTTTAAGTACTAAAAACGTAATAAATTTTTTATATATCTCTAGTCGGCAATGCCTGCACCGTAGATTTCACCTTCCATATCAAAATCCTCGTGTTCTGCATCTTTCCTGGCTGATTTTAATGACGTCCTGGCTTCTTTCGCAGCATCAGATAATGAAAACTCCGAAAACTTAATACGACAAGCATCGGTCTCCAAGCAGTAATTATAATAGTTATGTCCAATAGTCAAGCCTAGGAGTTTCATAATTTGCATTATACTCGACATTCCGTCATTGTATGTGCACACAGCTAAATTTGCAACTGTGTCAAGCACAATTTTGCCGCTGGAAACAGATTTTGGAATCATCGACATCATTTTGGAGATTGCATCTCTCATTTTCTGCACTGAATCATGATTCCGGCGTATTGCTAATCCATAATAAATGGATAGTTCATCCATAAGTTTGCCAGTTAATTTTCCCTTTCCGCCAAAACCTTTTGTATTTTTTTTTACATTTCGAAGATGTGTACCCATTCGCTTCTGGATGTGATTGATACATTCTTTTTTAAAAACTTCCTTATTTTCAGCAGTCTGTGCTTCGAAAAGAACTTTAAAAGTCTTTAAATCCCCATCTCCTACATAGTTAATATATTTAATATTATTTACAATTTCCGATCGTTGAAACATTTCTATAACAGCATCGACTTCCATTTTCTCCGCCGAGCCTTGGTGATTCGATTGACATTGGCTTCTATGTGTTTCCAACCACTCTACATATTCTTCAGTGTCACTCTTTTTTTCCCAAAATTTACAAGATTTACAGTATTTTGATTTCACAACAATATCAAGCACTTTGCTGGTAAACAAACCAATAACTGTCACCAATCCGGCAGTTTCGGTTTGAAAACAGGTACTTAAAATTCCTTTCGCGCTACGGGACTAAATGTACATCATTTTTAAAACTCTAACGCATCATTTAAACGCAAAAAAATCCATTTTTTGAAAATTCTAGAGTGGCGTTACCCCTTAACTAACAAAATATAATATTACTTAAAGCTTTTCCAACTTGTTCCCATGCTTTCTTAATTGCAATAAGCCCTCTGTATTTTTACATCCATATGCTGATCCCATAAGCAGGGATTCTCTTTAACTTCCATTATTAGAATTTCTTCAAACGAATCTTGAATAGAAGCATCACAGACCACCTACAAGAAATGAAATTAAAATTAATTTTTAAAATATATAATTTTACAATAAAATATTCAGATTTTTCTATCTTATATAAACACAATAATAATATATATATTACGGAAATATACTTACATCTAAATCTTCATCTAAGTATTCATAACTTTCATTTGACATTTTTATAACCCTTCGAAATTTTACTTGTCTTTCTTGTGTGTGTTTTTAGGTTATGCCTCTTGCATACCAGAGCGGAGTAGAGTTCCTATAAGTAGAGTTGTGCCAATCATGATTGCTTCTGTGATTAGTTAGGTCCACGGACTAAGGAATAGAGAGACGGAGCACAAGCTGTATCGGGGGAGCACGTTTGCGGCGGGGAGGGGGGGCCGCCATATTCGTTTAGTAATCACCACACATAGAACTCACTATTTGCGTATGTGTGAGAAATGAAAGTCAGATCCTGCACACAATAAACAAAATAGGAAATAGAAATAGGAAATAAAAATAGGAATAATTATTAAATATTAGAAATAAGAAATTGGAATTATTTATTTTAAAAATAAAAAAAATAGAAAAAATTAATGCATGAATTAAGAAATAAGAATTGGAACTAATTAATATATTTTATTCTCTTGTTAGATGTAAAATAATTTCTCTTTTTAATATTAAATAATTATTGCTATTTCTAATATTTTGTCTACTGTATGCAGAGCCTCAGAGTAATAAAAGTTAAAGTATTTTATAAAATTTATAGTACAACAATAATAAAACCGCCTAACCTCTTTACGCTCGTTATGTCTAGTGCAGGGCTGACGAAATGTGGCTCGCGAGCCGACCCCTACTTCGGACGCTTCTCCCTCCAACGCGTCAGCCGGCAGAACCGACCGACGTCTGTCAGGACCGTAGATAGCCCATCGTGCGAGATTGCGGGGCCATCGTGAATTTTTGGAAATTTCGATGTTTAACGACGTAGTGAATGTATCGTGAATAAAATGAGGAATAAAAATATTAATGTGACAAATGGATGCGCTTAGTATTGCTAATAAGTTCTTCAATGTCAATATTAATTTGCGTTGAAGCGAGACGAAGTTGATGTTCTAACACTTCATTGGACAGCGAACAACGTTGAGCAGATTTGATGTGCTTCATAATAGAAAACGTGCTTTCACAGATGTAAGTTGATGCGAATAATGATTTTATATAAAGTGCAAAGTCAATGAGTTTCGGATACCGATCTTGTGGCATAACTTCAAAAATTTTTGAGTCTGTCTCCGTTCTCGATAGCATAAATGGATCGTTTTGTAGATTGCACACTTCTTCTTGAAGATCACTTTTAACGCACTGAACATTTATTTTCATTGGGTTATTGTAAAAAATTAAATCTGTTTCTATAGCTTTAAAATCTTGAAAACGACGGTCGAATTGATCGGAAACTTCAGAAATAACGGAAGTAAATCTTGAGAATTTTATTTCCTTGAACTCTTTTTTCAGTTCAGAGCAACTTGGAAAATGGCAAACATTTTCGTTGTTTAATTGGCATTTAAATAATGTAAGTTTGCTTCGGAATCCATTAATATTTGCCAGCATATCTGAAATAGTGCGACCTTTCCCTTGCAAATTTAAATTTAAATTATTCAAGTGATTTGTAAAGTCCGTTAGAAATGCCAATTCTGATAAAAAAGATGGATCCTGTAGTTTTTTACGAATTTGGTAGTATCCGATTTGATTTCTTTACTCAAAAACTCGGCAAGTTCTTTTCTGAGTGCAAAAAAACGAACTAAACATTTTCCTGCACTTAACCAACGAATTTCAGAATGAAGAAGTAAATCTCCGTATTCAGCATCCACTTCTTCTAAAAATGTTTTCCACTTTCGATGAGACAGCGACCGATTTCCTCCGCGAATAAGGTTCGTAATTTTTGTTACAATTTTCATTGCTGACAGCATTCTAACACTTTTCTCGCATAATGCTTCCTGATGAATAACGCAATGAAAAGTTAAACAATTTATACCGTTTTTTCTTAAGTGACCAACAAATCCATTTTCGCTACCAATCATAGCCGGTGCTCCATCGGTAGCAATAGCAGAACATTTCTTGAAACCATCAATTTCGTCGATACACTTTTTTACAGCTTTAAAAATATCCTGGCCTGTTGTTGTTCCATGCAACGGAATTACAGCGAGTAGTTCTTCATATTCCGAAAAGTCGTCCATTATTATACGAATAAAAATAAGTAATTGACTTATATCTGTTCGGTCAGTACTCTCATCCATACACAAAGAATAATACCGACAGTGAACAACTAAATTCTTTATTTTCTCTTTTATACTATCGCCCATGTCAGTAATTCGACTTTTCACAGTTTGTTTTGACAAGGCAACTGTTGCGAAATCTTCAGCAGCATTGTTATGGTCGAATGCTTTTGCCATTTCTATTGCACATTCTTTAACAAGTGTGTCATCGCTGAAGCATTTTTGGGCTTTTGCTAATTTCAAGCACACCGCATATGATGCAGTTAAACTCTTTTTATTAAGAGATGCTGGCACAGACACTTGCATCTCTTTTTTGAATTTGTCTACAACGGCGCGTCGCTTGTCATCAGAGTAATTTCCGTATGTTTTTTCATGAAGTGAAGAGAAGTGTCGAGCAAGATTTGAACTTTTATTATTACTCAAACAATTTTCACATAATACGCATTGCGGCTTCTCGTCCGAATTCTGAATAAAGAAATACTTTATTTCCCACTCCTTATTGAAAGCGCGGTTCTCGGTGCTCTTTCTTTTAGACATTTTGACACTTTTATTACTTCATTTTATAACTTCATTTTAATAAACTCATTGACTTTGCACTTTATATAAAATCATTATTCGCATCAACTTACATCTGTGAAAGCACGTTTTCTATTATGAAGCACATCAAATCTGCTCAACGTTGTTCGCTGTCCAATGAAGTGTTAGAACATCAACTTCGTCTCGCTTCAACGCAAATTAATATTGACATTGAAGAACTTATTAGCAATACTAAGCGCATCCATTTGTCACATTAATATTTTCATTCTTCATTTTATTCACGATACATTCACTACGTCGTTAACATCGAATTTCCAAAATTCACGATGGCCCCGCAATCTCGCACGATGGGCTATCTACGGTCCTGACAGACGTCGGTCGGTTCTGCCGGCTGACGCGTTGGAGGGAGAAGCGTCCGAAGTAGGGGTCGGCTCGCGAGCCACATTTCGTCAGCCCTGGTCTAGTGGCACCACTACATGAGTGTAACCATGTCACAGACACATCTCTGTGTGAGAATCGCTACATCAATATGGCGGAAAGCAGTCCCCCCGCACGCTTGAATTACCATCCCCTCTCGCCTAAACTAGGACTTTAGACTCGGTTTCTCTATTCCTTAGTGGTTACGTCATTTTGTTCCCATGCACGGTGTAAGAATATAAGGTGATTTTACGGCAACAAATTTTTGTGATTTTCCTGTCATTGTTCCACATTAAACCGCTAGGTGGCTACGTGTTGAGGGATTTTAAATATATATATATATAGTAAATTTTATTAAAATTTTATTGTCCTGCGGAACTTAATTATAAATATTCTATTTTCTTAAAGAAACTTAATTTTCTATAAAGACTGGAATACATTATTAATTATTTTTTACTGCAAATTTAACTAAGAATAATTTGTTATAAAAATTAAAAATATTTTGTCAGTAATATATATTTTTATACACAATGTTAAAAGTTTTATTTTAAAAAATTTGTATTATTTAGGACTATAATTATATATAGATGTGCTTTAGAGATTCATCATCTATCCTTTTCTATCCACATCTTCTATCCTTTTTTACTTGGGATCTTGCACCAACATGACATCTTGTGTGACATGCCTTAACTGTGACATCTTGATCACAGATTTTTTGATAGAATACAATGGTCGTGAAATCACCTTATATTCTTACACCGTGTTCCCATGTTTCCGTTTCAATACGTCATCACAGTTCAGTTTGTTGATAACTTTGTGTCGGACTAGTTGCAATTTGACCGATTTATTTTTATAAGCAACGGTAAGTACGTTTTAATTAAAAAAAAACTGATATATATCGTGCGATAAATATTTTACGGAATTCATTTTTCTGCATATAAACTACTAATAGAAATCTAATCTCAAAGTGACAGTTTTGTTAATGCATACATATGTGCATAATAAAATGTATTTATAATAATTACAGAAGGAAATGCCGAGTTGTGCAGCGCCAGGATGTCGCAGTCATTCAAGACATGGCACAAAAATGCACCGTTTTCCAAAGAATCCACGACGAGAAGTGTGGGTAAAAAATACTGAACTAAAGTTACCAATAAAAGATGGTTTATTTTTATGCGAGGTATGTATTTCACTATTCTATTTTATTTAACTATTCTATTTTAATTTTCTCCTTTTATTTTATAGTACCATTTTCCAGCAGACATGTGGGAAAAGGAGCGTGTTGATGGAAAGAAGAAATTGAAAATGCACGCTATACCAACAATATTTGGATATGCTATCATGCAAATGCAAAATAATAGAGCTTCAGGTATGATGATAAATAAAATATTTGATTTGTTGGGTTATTGTAATGAAAGGTAATTGTAATGAAAGGTTGTATTTTACAGAGCATAGATCTAATGCGAGGTCTACACAGCACTCACCGATATTAGTATATACAGATCCGTCAAGTAAAGACGTTGTGATATTATCTCAATGTGATGAAACTGGACATTACGAGAGTACAGAGCCTATGCAGGAATCTTTATTGGCACACTTAGCACCATTAAATGAAAATGAAATTAACAATGCACAACAGGAAAATAAGGAAGTGGATGCACAGCACCAAGAGACATGTACTAATATTCATGCTTCCAATAAGCAGACTTTTTTATCGGAAAATGTACCTCTGGAGGAAAATGAATGCGATATCATTAGCAACGATGAAAGTGTACATAAACAGGAAGTCGAATTATTAACTGCACAGAAGGAATTTGCAACATCTGACTGCAATTGTTGTATGGCAGAGAAGTACAAAAAACTTGAGAAACTATATTTAAAAAGTGAAAGATCGAGGGTTTTAATGAAAAAAAATCACAACCGATTGCAAGTCATTATGAAGAGGAAAATTATGAAACTGGAAAAAATTGTACGTACGCATGTATCTTCAAACGGACTTAATAATAAACTTTTTAATTCTGATCAAAAAAATTTCTTAAAAATTCAGTATAAAAGAATGCCAAAGTGGTGTGATAGTACTTTAGTTAAAGCGTATCAATTAAAATTTGCATGTGGTACTTCAGGTTATCGAGAATTATTAAGTCAAGGATTTCCACTTCCCTCTTTTAGAACTTTGCATAGAAATTCAGAAAAATGGAAATTTCAAAGCGGACTGTCGACGGAAATTTTCGAGTTTTTACATATAAAAGTTTCACAGTTTAAAAACGACATAGATAAAGGGCTTGTTCGTTTTAGCTACACTGGGGCTGCTCTGGGTCTGCTCTACACAGGATAATACAGGACAGATAAATAGTTTGTCCTGTATTATCTTGTTTAGAGCAAACCCAGAGCTGCCCCAGTGCAACTAAAACGAACAGGCCCAAAGATTGCCTCATTGTTCTTGACGAAGTTAGCATTTCTCCGGGGAAATGGTTTGATACGTCCACGAATACGTACGTAGGTAATGTAACTTTGCCAGGTCATAATAGTAATAATGAAGCGACACATGGCCTAGTATTTATGCTTGCAGGTGTTGCTCAAAGGTGGAAACAAACCGTGGCATATTTTTATTCCGGTAATAGTACAAACGGATCGATTTATAAGTCAATAATTTTAAATATTATTGAGGAAGCTAACAAAATAGGATTGCGTGTTCAAGGTATCGTATCCAATATGGGTGCTCCAAACCAGGCAATGTGGAAATCGTTTAACATTAATGTTTCTCGATATTCGACGGTACAAAATAAATGTGAGCATCCATTAAATGAAGGACAACACCTTTTCTTCTTTCATGATGTTTGCCATGCACTTAAAATTTAAAAAAGGCATATTGAATCACGTAAATGTTACTATTTCTGCGAAATTTGTTGATAAATATAACTTGCCAACAAACACACTAAGTTCGAAACATTTTACGGAACTAATTAATGCGCAGAAAGATTTACAATTGTCATTAGCACCAAAATTGCTAGAAGATTATTTAGATATGTCCAAACACTTTCTAAAAATGAGGGTGAAAAATGCATACAATGTTTTGAGCCGAGATGTACGCTCAGCGCTTAACTATTTAGCTGTTGAACATAATCGAGAAGAATACAAGACGACTGCTTGGTTGGTTGCACAAATTGCAAGATGGTTTAAGATAGTTAGTTCTCGAAACCTCAGTTTTGCTATTAGCAAACACGACGAAAAAAATATTATAGAAACGATAGAGTTTTTGTACGAATTTGTTGATTTAATTTCTTTATTAACTTTTGGTTCAAAAACAGATTGGAAGCCTTTTCAAAAAGGTATTATTATATCGACACTTTCGTGTATTGAACTGTCAAAATACTTGATTGAAGAAGGGAATTATAAATTCGTTTTATGCGGTAGATTCACACAGGATTGCATCGAAAACTTGTTTGCGGTTCTTCGTTCAAAACATTGTACATTAAATGCTCTACAATTAAAAAGTAACTTAAAATTAGTAACTATTTCGCAATACATGCGAAAAATCTCTACTAGCAATTATGATGAAGATGATCGTGAATTCTTGCCCGATTTCTTGCAAATTTTGCGAAACATGAAAAAAGACTGTGATAACGAAACGCTCAATAAGCAGCTGCCAGTACCTAACGTGTTACCCAAAGATATAACTTTAAGTAATATTGAAATGAATATTTTATATAATGTCGCCGGTTACATTATTACTAGTATTATAAAAACTAATAGAGCTTGCAAGCAATGCATCCAATGTCTTGGCAGTCGTAGACAAAAATTAAGGCACTACAGTAAATTAACAATGATGAAATGTTATAAAGAGGATACATTATTTTTTGTTAACAACGTGACATTTGACTTCTTCGTTGAAAATGAAGAAAAATATTTAGAAGTTATAATAATAGTTCTCTTTCCAGAAGTAACATTAATATACGTAACTTTATGGTTGTTAAATTTAAAGAATGTTCTTACTTTTTACCAGAGTGCCATAACTTAAAGGATAAAATAGCATCCAGGTTTGCAGGGTTTAGGCTAATTAATTCTAAAAAGACTCGCGTTAATAAAAATTACACCCAGTCCAGCAAAACGATGGCATGCATCATAATATTAAGTAATGTTATTTCTTTAAGTTTTAATTGTTATGTTTATAAATTGTGATGGTTTGTAATTTCTTTAAGTATTGTCATGTTTATTAAGTGTTATCGTTTGTAATGTTTTATTGCGTAAAAAGATGCAATTTCCAGTTTTAAAACAATGCATGTTTTATTTATTATATACTTACAAAAACGTAATTAAAAATGTATTTAAATAGAATTACTAAGGCCAGGTTGCACCAACATTAGTTTAGATTTCAGCAAGACTTAAATATGTGTATATTTTTATCTTTCTTTATAAATAGACACATATTTAAGTCTTGATAAAAATCAAAATAATGTTGGTGTAATCAGGCCTAAATGTATTCTTATTTTTTCAGAAAAATCATTTATTCATGAATCTATACCAGCCAGTTTGAAATTACCTCAATTATGCAGAGTACACATACGAAAGGATCAAAAATAAATTTCATAACTGCAAATAGATGGCAAGTATGAATATATATGTGAATTTTCATTTATAAAATATTTTGTACATAAAAAATAAAACTTTTTAAATAATATTACATTATTTAATGATTTCATGTCCTTTTTTGCATAAAAGTGTAAATAAAATAACAAATATTATAAATAGCAAATAAGTATAGCAAGTATTGTAAATGTCCACTGAACCGTTTTTTCTACACACTTTTGGTCTAATTTGACAATATTGCTCCCACAGTGAAGGAATTAAGTTTGGTGTTACTTTAATATGTCTAAAGGACATAAAGTAATGTATAAGGACTACATTAATCTTTCAAATCTACATTTAACGATTTTAAATTTTCCGCGCGTCGATGAATGTCACGTGGCTTCCGGGAACAAAATCTGGTTTGGCACAACTCTACTTATAGGAACTCTAGCGACTGACACTAAACATTGCAAAGGATATACGGAGAAAATTTTATATCAAAAATTACTATGTACTGCAGTGACCGCGGACCATGAAGTCGCGGACCGAAAATTTTTACTATATTTCACGTATGAAAAACATAGTGAAAATTTTTATAATTTCTTTATAGTCCGCGGCTACTGCCGTACATAGTAATTTTTGACATAAAATTTTCTCCGTGTAGACAATGAATCAGACTAAAACGCATAAACCAATGGCAAGGGAGTTTAAAGGCTGCGCAGAAAATTTTGCGCAGCACACGTGTACATATATATATATTTTTTATAAGAGTTATTCAGGACCTCTGCGACAAACTCCGAAGTGAACTTGAAACAATAAATAAATAATTTATCTCATAATTGTAATAAATATCACTTAAGATTTGTCTGCGCGATCGCGTAGCTCCTAAACGACTCGACAGAGAACATAGGCTTAGTTTACACCGATTGTTTAGTACGCGTACCAAGTACTAAATCTGCTTTTTTGATTGGTGTAGATTTTACACTAAACGATTTATACCTATCGGAGAAGCAGATTTAGTATTTATGCCCATTTCCACCAATGTAGATTAACTTTAATCTCGATTCAACTTACTCTTTATCTTTTTCTAGTTCTAAAAATTAGAAAAAGGTGAAAAGTAAGTTGAACCGAGATTAAAGTTAATCTACGTTAGTGGAATCGAGCATTAGTATGCGTACTGAACAATCGGTGTAAACTAAGCCGTAGATTGCTTCATAGACCATGATCCTTTGCACGAAATCTATCGTACTTTTAGGGTGGTATTCATAGTTCTTACATACAATCAGTGAAGGAAAGAAGATGGCGGCAATTTAAATTTTGACGAAATTCTAAAATACCGTAATTAAGTTAATATTGCAATGATGTAGTTAGATTTGCGATGAAATTAATATTACAACGATGTCATATCCTTATGGATGTATGTGTACATAATTATATCTTTTACTGTTAAATATAATTAAAATTAATAATAATTTAACATGATAAGTATCCTATGTTTCCTGCAATAATCGTTTATTTCATTTTTGGAAAATTTTTTTCTCGATTTTTAATTATATTATTCATAAATTTATTACATCCTCGATTTTTTTGTAATATTTTAACAAACATATTTCTGTTTCTATTAAAAAATTTAAATCTCCCAGAAAAAGATAAACAGAATAATAATAGTTCTATAGAAAACAGATTGATAAGATTTTAAGGTTTTATTCTAAATTAATGATTGATCGCTTAGCATTAGAAAAAAAAACACAAATACAGCTGTGTTTTACGATATTATTTTCCTTTACAAAAAGAAAACACAAAAAATAACTTAAATAATTTGGAAATACTATCCACTTTTGTTTTACTTCGGATATAAAAAAATATACAATTGATAATTAGATTATGTTGTTATTACACAGCGTGCGTTACTGACCTGATCCAAATCTGCAATTTAATTCTTTATGAATTAAAAAGCAGAGATAAAGAGATAAAGCATTATTACCTCACATACAAAATATTAAAGATTAATAAATATAAATAATTAGATAATTAGATATTTAATATATCTAATAAATAAAAATTCTAATACACTTCTTGTATCCAACAAATAAAATATCTAATCAAATCAATCTAAGTCAATTAGATATCTACTGCATCTGTGAAAAACATTTCTACACGTTCAAATTTTCGCTGAAAAATTGTGACATAATAAAATGATAGATAAAATCGGCTGTCATCAATCAATGATGCATCGTCACCTTCGACCTTGTCGATCACGGATGTGTGACGCTCCGACGGACGGAGAGATGCTAATAGTGTTAGCAAATGTTGCGCTGCTATTTCCGATTGTCCTGCGCGCAATCGTATCTGTATAACGGCTCGATACGGCGGAAGCGCTCTACTCTCTGGACGCGATCGTCCTGAAAATGGTATTTGCCTCCGTGCGGCACTCCTAGAGCAGATGACGCGTGATAATGCGCTCGATCTAGAAAATTGAGATCGCCTTAATTTTATATTCCTCGAACGATGTAAACGAGCAGTTGATTGATTTTTACTCGATAAAAATGTCGTGGCAAAGGAACAGCCTTTCAACTGATTGTGAGCTTCGGAAATAAGAAATCCCTCACGAATTCAATTTTCATAAATTACAGAATATTAATTATTGTTGAACTGAGCTTTGCTGCAAAAAGATTCAGTTTGAGACTAAGCCGATAAAATGTTTAATGTTGACATTTGTAAATCGATAACAAATAATGAGCTAGCTCGACGCCTTCGTAAAGGAAATATCCGCATTAATTTCATCACAGAATCTACTCCGAAAATACCGCCTATTAATACATTGTTGGAATATACAGGGTGTCTCATTTTAACTGACCACCCTTGTCACCTTCGCAGGAAATGGTCAGATAAAAAAATATTCTCTACAAAAGTTATTGGGTTTAGAGGGAAACATCCGATGGTGACATTGGTTTAACCTAGAGTACACGTGCCAAGGTTATATGGAGGTCAATTTTGTTTTTTTAAATGGAACACCCTATTTTTTATTCCAGAATCTAATAGCTGACAAATCAAGAGCTTTTCAAAACACTATAATCAAGTTATTTTTTATTAAGTATTTTTCGAGTTATGAAGCTTATAAGTTACAGTATTTTGACATAAAATACAAAATATCTTGTAAAACAGGGCTTGGATTTATTTCATCTTTTTGGTCGATTCTCATGGTATACGCCTCCTCTCCTCTCTTTACCGCACGTGCGGCAGGTAAGGTATTTTTTTAAGATTAATCGAATAGCGTCACTCCTAACGCTCGGCGGCGCTGGCCCTAGCGGCTGCTGCGCGCGCGGTAAGGAGAGGAAAGGAGGCGTATATCACGAGAATCGGCCGAAAAGATGAAATAATTCCGAGCCCTGTTGTAAAACATTCAGTTTTCGGGAATCTTACCTTAATACTTTTATGCACAAAATAATGAGGCAAATCAATTGATATAAAGAAAACACATAATTGCTTTTAAAAAAAAGTATGCAGCTGCATGTTGCAAATTACATATTTTTTCTTAAAAGCAACAATGTGTTTTTTTTATATCAATTGATTTGTCTCATTATTTTGTGCATAAAAGAATTAAGGTAAGATTCTCGAAAATTGAATGTTTTACAAGAGATATTTTGTATTTTATGTCAAAATACTGTAACTTACAAGCTTCATAACTCGAAAAGTACTTAATAAAAAATAACTTGATTATAGTGTTTTGAAAAGCTCTTGACGCCATCTATTAGATTCTGGAATAAAAAATAGGGTGTTCCATTTAAAAAAACAAAGTTGACCTCCATATAACCTTGGCACGTATACCCTAGGTTAAACCAATGTCACCATCGGATGTCCCCCTCCAAACCCAATAACTTTTGTATAGAATATTTTTTATCTGACCATTTCCTGCGAAGTTAACAGAGGTGGTCAGTTAAAATGGGACACTCTGTATTGTATTAATTACTTTCACTTTCTATTTACATGTCGATAATAAAATTTTGAACTACAAATGTTAGAATTGCAAATGCGTATATCTTCTTATCCTTAATCCTCCTTATGATTAATGATCCTATTTCAGAACATGTAAAGCTGTTTTTCTTTCTCCAGCTTCACACGCTAAACAAACAAATATACTACAAATATTTCAAAATTACAAATATTTTAAACAGTAAAGACGAGCTTTTTAGAACTCATACAAAAGATTCGAATATATAATTTATATATTATTGGCATGTTCGAAATGTTTAAACAATTCAAAGTAAAAAAACGTCGAGTTTGGATATCTTAGATAGTTCGAATAATTTTGAAGCAAAAATAGTATGCATTGAAAATAGAAAAAAAATCGCTTTAATAAAATTTTTTAATAAAATAAATTTGTTTTAAAATTTGTATAATTTTTCAAATAAATATTTGTTTAAAAGACGAATAAAAGCGCGCAGTAAGTATTTTTTAATGCCTTAAGCCATGCTATAAATAAAATTACCATAATTTAAAAGAATTAAACGTACAAGGTAAAGATTTTTTTTTATATCCAATCAATAAAGTGTCTATTTCACATAAGTTTTTTTTAATGTTTGAATTATAATAATTTCCGAATATTTTATTCAATTTAAAATTTCCAAATACTACTTTTTATGAGATTTTCAATAAACAGATTTGATATTAAGCGGAAAATTAAACAAAAAGAAATCTACAATAAATTTTTGGACTCTTGAAGATTTTTCGTATATGCTGAATATGTATAATGTGCATGACAGAATCGTCAGAAGCTAATGTAGAAATAAATATTCTATATTTAGCGTTACAGTGGAATTTTTATTTTTAACATTTTCTAAAATAACTATTTAAAGAATAATATCTTTAAAATGGTTACTTTTTTTGTATAAGTACGTTTAATTAAATATCGAAATCTAGGCAAGTCGAGCAACGCGCGCGTGACTCTGTTAAACGTGATTTTACGAGA